TGTACACATATTATATGCTTAATCCCTGCAATTGTGTATTATATACGCATAATATTTGTACCCATTTTCCTGATGAATCTGTGGAAGTACCTATATAAAAATAGTTAATATGAAACTCATTTACATCAGATCTAGTGTTCCATGTCACAACCCAAAAAAGGAAACAAAATGGTTGTAAAGGTGGTTGCAATCATTTTTATATGATGCAAAGGTGGTAGCAACCATCATTAAAAGTTGCAGCCAGTATCCTTAATCAGATCTACTATGGAACCCAAGAATTATAGCATTATCAGAAGTATTTTAAAAAAGAACAAGGTGAAAATTGCTCCTTATGTTTTCAAAATAAATGATACTCAGACACTAGAAACATATCTAAGGAAAGAAAGAATTACCTATGAAATTTACCAAGAAGAAAGAAAAATAATAAATATTAGAAAAAGAAAGCAGAATGAAAGTGTACTATTACCCAATAAAAAACAGAAATCCTTGGAAGGAAAATAAATACCATTTTCTTTGATAATTAGAATGAATTTCAATTTACACAGAGAAAAACAACTAAAAATTTTTTTAAATTACTTTCTCATTTTCAATTATAAGGATAGTTCTATATATCACTTGAGGTAACAAATTAGGACTGTTAAATTATAATTACAACGTGATTGTGAATAATAATGACTAAATTTTGAACCCTAAAATTCTGGTAATATCAATGTTCACTTTGTCTGGTTTTGTTGCAGTATGCCCAATTTAACAATTTACTATTAATTTTAACATGCATTGTTAATAATAATAGGAAAGGGAAAGCAAAAGGCCAGATACATTTCTTCTAGTCCAAGTCCTAGTCAAAGGCTTACTCCTAATACTTGTCTTACTAGCAGGAAGTTGAGTGGATTCTAAAAGAAGATTGAGTAACAGGTTAATGAATTCAAACAACAACTTCCTCAGTATATACCATTTATAAAAAATTATGATAACTTCATGATTATGATTTACAACTATTGATTGCTTTTTTGGTAGGCTTGTAAAGCAGTTAAAAATACACATAATACATAATTTTGGTAGTTGTATGACCATTTAATAAAGCTCTGGCCAAGTTTTCCTTCAATGAAAAGATATGCATAAAATTTAGCCAATCATTGTTGTTTTGATTTTTTTCTAAAGTATTTTTAGAATTACACAATGAGTCTAGATCGTTGATTATTATGGTATTTAGAAATTCTAAATTTTGGAAATCTCCCTGACTGTAATTGTTTATCAGAGTTTCAACAGTCATTAAGAGGTTTCAGCAAGCAACTTTATCATTACCAAAAAATTCAAAAAACTATCTTGTTTTAACTTGTCCATGTGTAATGTGCCAATTTTGGGGATAAACTTGTGCAACTTTGGGCTCAATTCCTCATTACATATCAACAAAATGAAATTGTAACCTTGTAGGGAAAGGTCTTAGCTTCAGAATTACAATTTGTTTTTTTGGTGATACATTTCCATTTTGGAATCTACACTGCCAATAAAAAGTTGTGAGACTAAGTGGCTTGCACAATCCCTTAAACTCTTTATGGTAACACAAAAATCACAATCTCGCATTCTTATTGATTAATTTAATGATCAGCAAAGTAAAAACAGTCAATCAACCAACTTTTAAAGAAAGTTATACAAAAACCACAAGGACAACACCTGAATTTTTTTACAGACCAATCGGCTATATCTCAGGGGTCATTTTCACATTAGGAAGTGATATGCTTAGAGAAAACTTTATATATCAGAAAAATTCTATCAGCTATCAATAGCTGATTAACTGTTTAAGGGATACCAAGAATTTCAGGTTCAAAATTGTTTAATATCACCATTGTACACCAATACAATTAACAAAGCTCTTTATCTTTACACTTATACTTACTATACTACTCAAATGAATATTTGCCATTTTTTTTCCCTAGTTGATCTTGTTCATTTTATTTTATTATTTATTTCTTATATATATTTATCAATTTGACCTTATTGATATTAATTAGATTTGTTGATCAACTGATATCAAATACTCCATTGAAGTATGTTGTTATTAATACAAATAATAGAAAGCAAACTTATTTAAAAACAATAAAGAAAATTATATTAATTCTCCTGTAAATTATTTCCCAAGACTTAATGATGAGAGGAGAAATTACACAGTCAAGTTTTAAATAGCTCAATATTAACAACTTGCTTTTGCTGTGATCTAATTTCCTGTTCACCACAAGAAATCAATTTATTTGAGGTATCTTTAATAAATTATAAATAATAGAAAACAAAATTATTTAGAAACAATAAAGAAAATTATTTCAACTCTCTTGTAAATTATTTCCTGGGGTTTAATGATGACAGAAAAATTGTGGTCAAATTCTGAATAGTTCAACTTAACAACTTGTCCTTGTTGTCTGTGATCTAATTTCCCTCCCACTACAAGAAATCAACTTATTTGAATATTATTAATACAATCCTTAATATAACTATAAATATAGAAAATAAATTTTATTTAGAAAAAATAAAGAAAATTATTCTAACTCACTGCAAATTATTTTCCAGGACTTAATGATGATGGGAGAAATTACACAGTTTTGGGTAGTTCCAGAGATTATGCCAAAATATCTATTATGACTTTTGACATGCCATAATGTCATAATTAGGTCGTAATAATCTAAGGAAAGAAGAGATCATTTTCACATTAGGAAGTGATATGCTGAGAGAAAGTTTTATATATATCAGAAAAATTTTATCAGCTATCATATCAATAGCCAATTAACCATTTAAGCAATAGTGAATGATCATTGCCAAATTCAAAATGCCAAATAGCTTTTCATAGTAGCTGAAATTAATTTTAATAGTGGCCAAAAATTGTATCCAAAATTATTTTGAATCCCTTTATTAATAGCCAAAACTCTGGTTAGTTTTTTTATGATAATTAATATTGCAAGCATGCAATTCTAAATACAGCTCATGACATGTCCAATAAGTATACAAGATGAAATAAATATAAAACATCCAATATGTATGCAATCCCCTTTAGCTTATAGCTCAAAGGTTCCTAATCCCTATACTAACAATACTTTCCTCTAGTATTGCCAGCACACAGCCTGACTTATCCTTTGCACAATTCCTAATACTAACAGTGCTAATGCTAAACACTGGCACACAGCCCAAGATAAAATAAAAAGAATATATACAAGAAATATTTACTACTATACCACTTGAGGCGTCCCTACAAGCAACATAGAACAATCAAATGGGGGGTTTCTAACTAATGATTAATGTGCAGACCACTAACCATCAGAGAGGATCATGGAACAATTCACAATGGCTTTTCCTGTTAACCATGCAAAATTTGTAATAAGATAAAATATGTTTATTTAATTATTAACAACCAGGGGGAAAGAAGAAAAATTTTTTTTCAATTATTATGAATGTTATCAATGTGATGATTCTCACTTGGTCTAAAACCATGCCTTTTTATACCTCTTGAGGTATTACAAATAACATGACTTCTACTCTATTTTATCCAATAAAATATAATTACTAATGCTACTAATTATTTGGGTTGATGAATAATACAAATAATTTGATTAATAATTCGAAGTAAATAATTATGTCATAAAAATAAGTTAAATATATATAGAAATGATGTAATGATCTACATGTATAATGTGACGCAATATGTGGCGCAACCATTACAATAAATATAGAAAGATGATCGTTAATCGTGATGTAATATTTAGGTATCACATGACGACCGTATTAAGTTCGTTCTAATTGGTCCATATTAACGGGCAATTGGTTGGTCCACGGTTTACAATCTCACAATATAGAGAATATGGAAAAGCAGAATGTGACCAAACTATTTGGCAAAAACAATTTTGGCTGACATGTATGATCTACATAATAAAATTTATGCATTTTTTTAAAGATATATTTTAAATTTGAACAAATTTGTTGTTTCTCTGTTCTTTCTGATCAGCCAATAAAAATTAGGTTTGGGCATGTAACAAGGAACAGAAAACAGGAATGGAACACCCTTTATATTATTATTATGATTTGTTTGGAAAATAGCCCATTGCCATTAATACAATACTAAATATGGTTAAAATGTTACACCAATGGACCCAATTGACTGGTACCATGGCTGATCCTGTTGTCAATGATTTAGTATATAATGAGCAGGGAGGGTCTTAGAGAACTTACTTAAAATGGAAAAGGACACAAACTTTTTATGTCAATCAATTACAATTTAACTCTTGCCTATTTTTCTATTTTAGAAATTTTTTTCCATAATTTCATGACATAAAAATTGCATTACCTGATTTTGAATATGACTTATAATAAAAATTTTCTGCTATACTCAAAATAGTCACACCACCTCTTAAAAGTCTTTACCAAAATTTTCATATAACTTCAGCAAAAAACTTCATCAAAATCAGATGTTACCTCAATTATAATAATCTGGGGTCCTAGCAGGGCACAGGTACTGTGTACTGTACAACTTTTTCAAAATTTTTCATTTTTAGATTGTACAGTACAGAAATACAAAAGTGTATAGTACAAAATGTCTATATTCATTGTTTTTTGAGTCTTCAGGTACAAACTTCTTGGACTTTTTCATCAGCATAAGTTGACTTAAAACTTTTGCAATTAGTAAATGTGGTTGTTGCTTTGTTGGTAGTAAAGTATCCAGATGTTATGGCTAGATCTATATTTTGCATATACAGCAAATGCAAGCAGCTCTTGAATTTTGAATTATTTGAATCATTCCTAATAAAACAAAGAAATCACAATTATGATAAATTTTTCCTCAATTTTCTGCAGATAAACTTTTTTAATATATAACAATATCTAATATTTTTAAATAAAAATTTCATTATGAATTTTATTTGTTGTAAAATTTATGACCAACCAAATGACCTATGATCATAGGCCATTAAGAACATTAAGGAAAGATGAAGTCACCCATTACTGCCTTCTATAGGTAAAATGTCATTCAGTAAAGAACTCAAAATCTATATATCTATATATCTACTAATGTATATTATTTCAATTTTTATATTTAAAACAATTTTGTTCCATTGCCATGAAATAATTTGAAGTTACTTTTGTTAAAAAATTCATCTAAATCTAATCATTTATAATTTAAAAAATACTACTGAGAATACCATTGAAAATACTACTATTACTGATAATACCAACAATAATAAAAGTTTTATATATTGTATTTTTTGTTTATTAAAATTCTTCACAAATTGATTGATTCAATTCTTAATTACCCACCTCACCAAATGACATACCAACATCTTCAATTTGCATTGGTATATGATTTTGATTTAATTGTTGAGTTAGAATGTGAGAAGTAGCAGTAGATGTTGTTGTTGGTGGATAATTTAAAATACCCAAGTTATTTTCTAATTAATAAAAATGAAAACAATTAATAAATATATCCAAAAAAAAAAAATAAACCAATTTTTTCCAATAATGAAAATTAAAAACAAAATTTTTTAATTTTAATTATATATATACCTTCAATTTTAATCATTAGATTTTCTTGTTGTTGTTGTTGTTGTTGTTGTTGTTGATTATTATTATTATTATATAAATTCAAGAAGTGATGATTGTTCTGTGGGTTAGGTTGAAAAGATAAATCTCCATGATGATGAGGATGAGGATTTGTAAAGCCAAAATTACCAAATTCTGTAAACATTGGAGGAGCAGTTGAAGATTGTTGATTATAAATATTATAACCATTGCCAGAATTATCTGAATTGTTCATTTCTTCATCCTTAATAACAATATTATCATTAACCACAATATCATTGTGATTATTTGTTAAAGAGACAAAATCAAATTTTGGTTTAACAGCAGGAGCAGATGTAGCAGAAGTTGGTGGATGTTTTTGAAATAAAAAATCATATTGAGAAGTTGTGTTGTTAGGATCATTGATATTTTGTTGCAATAAAGAAAAATTAACATCAGGCCAATCACCTGTTGCATTATTATTTACTGCCATACAATTATTAGAAAAAGGAACATCATCACCATTTGGATTGACTGTTGAATTTAAAGTTGGTGGAGCAAATAAAGTAGAGTTTTTAGATGTTTGAGATGTAATCATTGGCTGGTATTGTTGTTCAAATTGCTGATGACTCTGTTGTTGCTGCTGGTCATCATCATCATCATCACTATTAGTACTTGTGGTATTGATGGTATTATTATTATCAATGTTATTATTTCCAGTATTATTATTGTTACCATTTCCATCCTTATTATTACTAGCAGCACAGTTCTTCATTGCTTTAACTAATTTAATTTCTTCTTGAAGCCTTTGCATAAGAATAGATTTTTTACCAGTGGCAGGTTTACCACGTTGTCTTAACAATTCTTTAAGTTCGCTAACAGTGATATCATCAAAATCAACTTTTTCCAATTCCTCATTTAATTTACGTCGACATTCCTCAGAAGACATTGATGGAGTTGATTGTGAATGCTTTGGGTTTCGTTGAATTTGGATTGGTGGTAATGAAACATGTGGTTTTCTAATAGCAAATGGTGAGGAAATTGGTAAACAATTAATTGGATGATGATAAAGATGGCAATATTGTTGTTGTTGATGATGGTGATGGTTATGGTGATGGTGATGTAATGATGGAACAACAATACCACTTTGCTCAACTTGATTGGTTAAAAATGGAATAGGAGCTGATAATGACCTTTTACGCCAATGGCCTTTACGAGGTATTTGATTTGGTGGTTTTAATAATAATGATGATGATGATGATGATGAAGATAGTGGAAAATTAGAGTTGTTACCATGATGATTATTATGATCATTTTGTTCTGAATGCAGTAATGTTGGTGTATTAGGAGTTGATAAGGAATTATTATGAAGATGGTCCATCAGAAATATTGGATTACCAACATTGCTAATATTATTATTACTACCAACATTATTGATATTATCACTAATGTTAATATTTTTATGAGCTTTGGCATGAAATTGTATATTTGGCATGCTTCTTTGATTTTTTTTATCAGATTTATCAAGTTGTTTATTAATTATTTTATTTGGATCAATGATAGTAGAAGAATAAGAAGAGCCATGAAGATTTGGTGTAGAACTTCTAGTGGTCAATTGAGCATATGGAATATGATGAAAATTAGGTTGTAATTGTTGAAGTTGGAGCTGATGATGACTTTGATTTATTATATTATTAATATCATTATTATTATCATTAGATTCTAATGGCTGTTGATGATGTTGAGTTGGAACAATAATCTTACTACTATTGTCATTACTATTATCATTACAATTGATTCCTAATAATTGTTTTTGATTTGTTTTTGCCAAAAAATAAATGTTGCTAGCAGATGAACTTCGACGATAAGAAGTAAGATAGTTTGGGGTATTTGATTGCTGTTGTTGATCCAACTGATTAGATGATAAATCATTATTAATGCCGTTGATGTTATTATTAATATTATTAATAAAATTATCATTGCTACCAACAACAACACCATTATTTCCGCCAATCATCTCCAACCCAATTTCATAATTAATATTATTAATAAATACTCCCCCTTGATCACAATTATTTATATAAGGGGGAGGAAGAGGAGAAATCATCATGTTAGATAATGATGGCGGTGATGGTGACGAATATGATGATGGTGTTGATAATAGTGTTGGTGTTGTTGGTGTTGTTGTAGTTGAAGTTATTGTAATGGGTGTTATTGGTGAGTTAGTGTTATTAATTATTGACATTTCTTCTATTTAAAAAAAAAATTATTAAAAAATCCAAAAATTTTAAATCTAAAAAAGTAAAATCTAATTAATGAATTTTTTTGATTTTAATAATCAACAATCGGAAAATCAATATTTATATTTATATTAATGTCGGTCGGTGTACCTATTTATTTATTTCCCAAATGATTTCGAATTTTAGAAAAAATAAATATTCTATCTGATCAAAGGTATTATTAAAAATAGAAGAAGGCAAGATTAATAAAAAGGGATGATGACGGTGATGTGTTTAATGTTTATTAAAGGAAGTCTTTTTTTTTTTAATAGAAAAAAAAGGACTTTTGGAAAATATGATAAATGCGATGAAAAATTAAAGGAATGTAAAAATTTCACCAAAAAAATTTAACTTGTATGAATAATAAGTAAATATTCTTACATACACACTTGGATATGTTTTTAAAGGAAAGGAAAAAATTGATTAAAGAAAGTGAAAGTAATTAGGTAAAAAGAAATAAAAGAACGAGTGTATAATATATATATATATTTATATTTATATATAAAAGAAGGAATATATAAATATAGGAATATATATATATATATAATAAATAAAAATTTAAAAAGGAGAATAAAATCCAGTGCAAGATTCTAATAATTACATTGCCCTTTCTCTTATATAAAAAATAATCGATGAGTAGTTTTTATTGTTTTCATCGTCATTATTTACTTTTTATTAATAAAACAATCTTTCATAAATCTGTCATATACACAACATTTTTTTGCATACACGCACACAATTCAAAAGGAACTTATTTACAATTACTATATCGTATTATTTTTATCTCGAAACAAATCAATACTAACACGTAATTATACTTTTAGATCATCAGTGTCGCCGTTTTCATCATCGTAAATTAATTATCTAAAACATTCGGATACAAATAACCCAGATACTAGCTCAGATATAACGACGACGACAACGATGACAATAATTATAATTATAGTTGATGACAATTATAGTTGATGATAATTATAGTTGATGATAATTATAGTTGATGATAATTATAGTTGATGATAATGGTGGAAATATTAATATAATACTAATAATAATACTAATAATACTAATAATACTAATAGTAATACTAATAACACTAGTAATAAAATTAATAACACTAATAACACTGATAACACTAATACAAATGACTAATAATACTAATAACAATCCATTCACAGATTTCATATTCTCATCTAACTTTACTTCATTCATCATCACCATCAACATTAAAAAAAAAGGATTCTTATTTATGTTGCAATAAAATTTAATTAATTAACTGAACCATATTTAGTATATTTTTTTGTCTTATTTTTTCCCATTATTATTCATTTAATTAATACCTATTTGTCACACAGAAATATAAATTTAATTGCTGAATTCGATGTTTTTATTGATTGATCTTAATATTAATATTTGGTATATTAATAATAAAATCGGATTTTGTTATTACTTATAAAATTACTATTTTCGCGCACGTTTGTATGTGTATTTATCTTTTTAATATTAAGGTTGGTCACTAAATGTCGTTATTTGGGAAAGAATTTGATTTAATGCAATGTAATATATTTATTATCTTCTTTCTGCAGATCATCAAATTATTGAATGGTTGTACAAACAAATATTACATTAATTAAATATAATCTTCTCTTTCTACAAACAGCCTTTTGTGTTAATATTCCATATACAGTTATACAGTTAACTCTCTATCTATATAAGCAAAATCACACTATATATGAACTTCTCTTTTGTCTTTTTTAATAATAAAATTTTCATTCTATAATGAAAATCTAATAAACTCCTTACATTATTGAAAATGTTAACGCTTTCTGTATAAATATCAACAAATTTTTTTATAATTATCATTTTTGTATATTAGCCAATTTACCTTATGTGTTGTGTCATTAACTCGATATCCTTAATAAACAAATCGTATGATACAAATAACATGTAAATTATAAAATTAAAAATATAATATGGTAAAGGTTATTTTTCTTTTTTTGCGTGTTGGCATATTTATATACGAGATTAGAAAAGTTGAAGATTTATATAAAAAACAAAGAATTTCATATACAGTACATAACAACATATACGCTTCCTGAAATAAATAAAGTATCCGAATCTCGTTTTTTATTAATTACGTAAAATAAAAAATTATTTTTATGTAGCATAAGTTCTAACGAATATGGATGTAAATTTTATGTTATTAGTATTCATGTTAATATTTTAATTAAAAAATGAACTTCAATTAAATTTGTTTTTGAATTTTTTTAATTTTCCCAAAATTTTTACATTGTAAAAAAACATCATTATATATAGCCCAAGTTATAACATAAAAACTTTATCACTGGTGGAAAATTTTTTATTAAAAATAATCAAATTCCAATAAAATCTTTCGACTTTGATTTGATTTAATTATTAAAAATACCGAGTTAACTGAAGCTGAGCGAAGAAAGTTTTAGGCCTTAGATTAGGTAAAGTCGATAAGTCGGCCATAAATGGCAGCTGACTTATCGAGAGAACCGACTTAGTGACTTGGAATTTTTTGCGTAAAAGACTTTAATTTTTCTCTCAATACCGAAACAAATAGGCTGTTTGCTTTTATATCATCATTTTATTGCAAACGAACATATAAATAAGTTAATAAAATATAAATATATTGTTATGATACATCCACAAAGATAGTTTTTTTTTACAACGGATATTTTTTTAATATTATTGGTTACTAAAAATAGTAATGATGATCTCTCACTTAATGCAAATATCACGTGATACAGACCTATTATATCCTAGAAGAGGAGATTATCGCGATTTTATCCAAGTTGGCTGGCTTATCAAGTAATTTTAAAATATAGAAAGAAAAGGCTGATAAAGTTAGGCGAAAACTGACTTATCGAGAGACCGACTTACCGAGCTTCGATTGTTTCCCGATGCAATTTCTTTTTTTTTTGTTCACTAACATTTGATGCCTTTGGGCGGTCACTTTTCAATGCGTTTTTTAAGCATCAATTATTTTCGTAACGTTTAATAGTATCACAAACTGTAGTTTCTGAAAGTTTAAGCATTTTTACAATTTTATTAAGACTAATATACAAGTAAATTCTGCAAAAGTGACTAAGAGAAACTTTGCTTAGTTTAATGGTATTAAAGCATCAGCAAAAAAAATTTGCACCAAGTTGTAATATTTTTAATTTTTAATTGCATTTCGGGGAGGGTGGTTAACCGAGAAATTTATATCCATTATAGAAACATTAAGATTAATGTGCATGATCGTAAGAACCTAAGCCATAAACTGTTATACAAAATTTTGCGCAATTAATAAAAATGAGATTCTTCCAGAAAATGTGCTAATACTTAGTTCTGGAATCTCAAATAGATTGATCGATAAATATAAAAATGACGGGGTCCAAAATAGTTTTTACATATATATTAATGTTAATATGTGATATATAATAATAAAACCATTGTCATTGTTGTAGTAGATTATTATTTTTATAATATGAAATACTTGGCGATGAAAAAAAAATTTACTATTACGGAAATAGTTTTTTAAACCAAAAATTTTTTGAAACGCTGCGTAACGGATTAATTTCAAACAATGAAAATGACAAGTCAGTAAGTTGTATCGCGAAAATTAAAAAAAAAAAAAAAAAATTGTAATGCATTATTATAATGCTATGGAGATTAGGAATTTTCTTGATTGGAATCTCCCACTTGTTTTTTTTTTTTAAAAAGAAATAATATATAATTGAGTATGGACGGAGCATCCCGCCGGATTTGTAATAAGTAGAGAAATTTGTTCGCCAACCATGTCCTCCCGAGTAGTTCGTTTAGTAATTCGGGTTTAACGAACTTGAAATAAAATTTATGGTCTTCACATGCTTCCGATCGAGGAAGAGAGAGTGTGTATGATTTTTATAATATAGTTATCATTGTATATAAGAAATAATAAAATTCCATTTTCATGCAACATCTTAAAATTGTTAAACGACTTTGAAGTTTGAATGAACATTTAATATTTAGTTATTTTGAACAAACAAAATTGATTTAGTTAACCTTTAGAAGGCCTTCAATTCTTATCAATGTGATCTAGATCAAAGGAGCCTTC